AGAGAGAGAGAGAGAGAGAGAGAGAGAGAGAGAGAGAGAGAGAGAGATTGGACTCGGGAAAGCTATGCCTCATCTCATAAAATCTCACTCACCAAACTAATTTGATGGTCAGGTGACTTGGATACTGGCCATTGACCCAAACAAAAGTCAAAGGCAGGTGACAATGGATCTGCTAGTGGGGAGACACCAGGAGGAGGCTGTGTGAGCTCCGAGGCAGGGTGACTCTTAATTAAACTCTTGTCTGATAAGCAGCCTAACCAGACCGTCAATAACTGCTGACAGATGGATCCAGGTGAGGGGTCAGCAGGAAGGAAAACAGGGGCGGTGAGTTCTGCCCATGTGGATGCTAATGCCCACCAAAACCCCAGACCTCACTTTCCCCATCTCTCCTCTTTCATGGGAATGTATAAACGCCCAACAGGACAGGACCGCCAGTGGCACACCCTGTTTGTGTTTGTGGAGTGTGTATTTGACCTGGGTACTTCTCTGTGTGTCGAGGACAGTACGCTGGGTACAAGACACACAGCTTGCACACTGCACAGTCCCTGGGACTTCTGAAACCGTGTCCTTGTGTCTGGAAATGTAATTGAGTGTACACACACACATTCACTCTGTCCACATACATAAACAACACGTATATGTATATGTATGTGGACAGAGTGAATGTGTACTGCAGTGGCACTTCCTAATGTGCTTGAGAAATCTGAAGAACCTTTCTCCTCCAGGCGGGGCTCTGTGTGTGAAGGAGGGGTGGGTGGGCTGGAGATGAAGCTGCACCCCTGTGGAGGAACAAAAACTCACTCCTCCTTACTAGGTGTCCCAGGCCCCCAGCCGCCTTTCCCTTGTAATAAGGAGGGAACAATGCTATTCCTTCTTCTTTATTTGCCCAGAGTGCCTATGATTTTCTTTCTTTCAGAATCCAATTTTCTCTTGACATTTCTGCCTGATGTAGCGAAGCATGACCTTTGTAAGAGGACGTGGCTGGCAGCCTGTTTTCTGCCCGGGGCTCCCCAGAACTCCTGGAAGGCTCTCTGCCTGTTTCTTTCTCGGAAAGGAGCCAGGCTGCCCGGCGTACCTGGGCCAGTTCTGCCTCTAGGATGTCTTGTTCCTAACAGAAGCCTCTCTCACCAGAGGTGTGCTTCATCAGCGGCATGCTTCTCCAGGCTCAGCAAGCATGAGGTCCCCGCAGGCTGCCAGGGCCCAGAGTTTTGAAGCGTAGGTTTTGTTCAGTGGAACACTGAAGAAAACTAGGAAACTAAAGGATCAGGCTGGGAATCTTTCCAAATGTCTGCCAGGATTCTCTCGTGATTTTGAAGTTTAGGAATTGTTTTGTGTGTGTGTGTGTACATATTTACATATATAGGTGAATGTCAGAGGTCAGTCTTGGGTCTCTTGTCTTAGGAACCATATGCACTCTCTTTGGAGGGGATACAATCTCTTATTGGAATCTTGAGTTCTGTGATGAGAAGAGGCAAACTGGCTGGCCATTTCCAAGAATCCATCTATTTCTACCTTCCCAGTGCTTGGGTTACAAGTTTGTTCTGCCATACCTGGCTTTTTACTTGTGTTCTGAGACTCCATCTCAGGTCCCTAAGCTTACATGGCAAGCATTTCACTGATGGAACTTTCTCCTCAGCTCCCATTGTTCAAGTGTTACTCCCAAGAATGCTGTTGTGCAGAGACAACAAGCAGAAAAAACAGAGATGGTAAAAAGACTTCTGCCTGGCTAATCCAAGCACTCACATTTGCTACAGCATCACACAGGCTAACGTCAATCAAGACCCAGACTGGTACTGAAGCCCATGGCCTTTGATCCCAATTTCTGAGCTTCAAGGCTACTAACCAGTAGTGACTGTGGGAATTTGCTAGCCCCATTGTTGTTCTGTTCCTCTGAGCAGGAGCATTTGCTTTGGGGAGCTTGGCCTGGGGGTTACCTGAAATGGTCTTGCTACAGTTCTTGTGTAACCCCAGTTCTTCTCACAGGTGGGTGAGTAATGGTAGATGTTTGTAGGAATAAGTCACAGGGGCTTTGTGAAACATAACCTGATGAATGGCTCAAGATGGTTCTTACTGAACATGGGATATCACACCAGAACTCTCAACCCTGCAGGGAGGTGTGGGAAAGCTGGGTTTATGGGGTCATCCCAGAGAACTCTTTGTGAATTCAAGGCCTTTGGACAGAGACAGCAATAAACACAGGGAAGAGAATAGAGCAGCAGACTTATGAGATACATATGTGTGGTTTCTTTCCTTTCTACAGCTGTCCCCTGTAACCTTAGAGATGGGTTGCTTTACCAACACCATCATAAACTGTCTTAGAAAGTTAGCTGGTTTAAGATAGTGTAGGATCCAGTCATATTATCATAGATAATCTGCATCTAAGGGAAAATGGGATGTCTTATTTCTTCCTGTTCTTAGGTTTGAGTATCTGTTCTTGTTTCATATTGAGCACATTCTGAATTCTGTAGGTCTCAGTACAAACACATCTCTTCAATAGACTAGTGGGTTTCACTCTCTAGTTATCTAACAGGTGTCTCAAGCTTAATGTTCATAAGAAGTGGGGAGCCCTTCTGTTAATAATTAACTTTTACTAATAGGTAGGCGTTACTTGTGTAAATGATGGGTTTATAGTGATGTTTTCAAACCTGCGTATAGCATATGCATTTGTTATATCCATCTGCCATTACCTTCTCTTGCCTTTCCTCTGTTATCTGATCCCAGAGGATCATTTTGGTCCCACTGCCCAAATGTGATCTCTTAGTAGGCTTCTTCATCTTACTAAATGCCCCAGTAGTCAACAATATATTAGTGACTTTCTTGGTTGTGTGACAAAAGGCTTCACATAAGAACTTAGGGAAGAAGATTTTGGCTGATGACTTCAGAGAGTCCATGGTCTCTTGGTCTCATGTTCTTAAGCATCACAACATGGTGGTGTGCGGAAGGCTGTTCACTTCTTAATAGACGGAAGGCAGACAGTTCTACAAGAAAGGATCATCAGTAATACATTACTAAGGACATATCCTTGGTGATCTACCTCTAGTTTTCGTGACTTCACAAACTAGTGCCACCAGCTAGAGAAGAAACATTTAAGACACATATCTGTGGAGGCCATTTCAAATTTCAACCATAATACTCACCACTCAATTTGCTCTCCTCTTTCCCCAGAGCTAGCTGCAGGTTCTGATGGCATTACCCCAAGAACTTACCTTCAACCAATCTCTCCTCGTTTTTTTCTTTTCTTTTTCTTTTTTTTTAAATTTCTCCTCTTTTTCTTTTCTTTTTTTGTGTGGAATCTAGGTAAGGTCTCCTGACTAGTTTGCCAACTTCCAGTCTTGGCCTTCCATTTTAAAAAGTGATGTTTAATTTAGGATAGTAAGTGCTCCCCCCATTGCTTTCTGTAGTCTCCTCCCAAGGTCTGCAAATATGGCAGCAGTCCCTTTCCTGCTTACCCCAGTCCGTATCTGCAACTGTTTCTCAGCTCCTTAGCATTCTTTCTTTTTCAAGGTCTCTTGTTAATGACTCAAGCACCCAAGTGAAGTAGCCAACTCCCAATTACTCTTGTCATTTTGCTTCTACTGTTCTTTATGCTCATTCATTTGTAATTTGAAGATAAAGTTCCATCTTTTTTTTTGTCAATGGTCTACCACCCAGACCTCAGCCTAGCCTATATCTGGCTCTTCTACTTGCTGCAGAAGTCACCTAAATATAAGTGCACATGGAAGTGTGTGTGTGTGTGTGTGTGTGTGTGTGTGTGTGTGTGTGAACAAGAGTATGTGTTTGCATTGTTACCTGTGTGCTTAATAGATTCAAATATACACATGTTTGTGTCTGGATGGATAGTTTTCAAAATGGAACCCGCACTGCCATCCATTCCCATCAGCAAATGAGGACATGGTTCCTGGGTTGCTACTTCATTTCTTGCAGTGCCTAACTACTGCCTTTAAGGGCTGTTATCACGTCCAAAGTTGTTTGTTGAGCCGGGCAAAGTAATAACTGTGGGCGTGTTGCTTCTTTTATTCAGAAGACGGATGGCCGCTCCCTTCCCCTGTACATCCTAATGAGAACAATTAAATAGCCATTAGGAGAAGAGATGTGTGAACAAAAGGCTGATGTCTTGATCTCTGGAATGGGCATGTGTTCTTGGGGAGGGGTGGCTGAGAAGTTTCAAGGAACCTGAATATACCCTGCCTCTGTGGATGTCAAGGACGCTGTGGGCTTGGTTACCTCCAGAACTATTGTTTAGAGAAGGCTGCTTCCAACAGGCTCCCTGAGGTTTTATTAGAGGGCAGCATGAGGAGTAAGCAAGAGAACCATATTGTTTCTTGGATGTGTTAACCCTTACCCTTGAGAAAGGCTTCAGCATCCCCTTTACAGCTGCCCAACGGTCTCAACTCTTAGCAGGCAAAATTGGGTGAAGAAAAAGAAGTGCACCCAAGCCTGCCTCCAGGTGACCAAGTCCTCCATGGAGGGCGTTCCTGTTGCTGGCTCTGTCCTTTAACAACCCCTTTGTTTGTCAATTTTTGCAGAAACTTGTCAAGTAACCGGCTCACCACGCTCTCCTGGCAGCTCTTCCAGACGCTGAGTCTTCGGGAATTGTAAGTTCGGAATTGGAGACTGTCCAGGTGGCGGAGTGCTGGTAATGGTCGGGGTGCGGGGGAGTGTCAGGCATTGAAGTGCCTGGTGGCTGGGCTGTTTGGGTTGGGTAGCATTGAGCATACCATGTTCAGTGACAGTGATCCACCCCCATCCGTGGACTTGACTTTCGATGGTTTTAATAAGCATACTCTGTTTCAAAAGACAGAAGCTCATCTTTTATCAGCCTTTGATTTTGTGAACTGCAAGTAATTAGCAGTGACAATTTTAATATCCATAATAAAGATATCAATAAATTTCTGATAAATAATATTTTCTATACATAACTTTGTAACTTTATCAGGTATGCCTTTGTTTATAGGATCTAAGATTTACCATAATAAGAGTCAGGGAAGATAGCTATTATTTTCTGCATTTTGTGGACTAAGTCTTAGGAACCCACTCAAGAATCAGCTACAGTTGTACTGCTAAGGACTTGTATGATTGGTACTTGAGCATGGCCTTCCAGCTTCAGACCATATGGCCTTTACAGTGCTCATGAGCTTATATCAACTCATTTGGCTTGGTCTCTGGGCATTGTGAGCATGGAAGAGGGCATATATTTATTTTATCGGTGTGTGGATTGCTTAGCTTTGCTACGTTCCAAGGTTGATCCTTGCACTCTTACCCCAGCCAGCCATTTTGTGCAAACAGATGTTGGCTGGATGAGTGCAAATTCGTGACCACTGCTGGAGACAGGAGAAAATAACTCATGTTGCTGTGTGAGTCATCAGGGTCCTCTCTGTGCATGAAGGACAGTGTATTATGTGGAGGGAGTAAATCAAGGAACAAATTGAAAAGGAATTGAGGCATGGTTGAAGTTAGGGAGTCTGGGTTTAAGAGAGACTGCTCATGTGTTCCTTTTTACTTGGTGACTCAGATCCAAATTCCCTGTCTGTAATCACAGCATTTACCAGGAAGCAAAGACCTTGGACCTCTGCCTTGGCTATGGGCGTTTTACCTTCTTTCCCCACCTGGCCAGACCTATGTTCATAGATAAGTTATAACCTTGATTTTTCAAATCAGTGGCTAGAAACGAGACTCATTACCCTTGACAGCTTTGCATATTATTCTTGGTCTTGTGTCCTGACTGTTCACACGATCTGTTCCTGAACCATCTCAGGGATGGATAGAGAGAGATGATCATTTTGAAGGTATTGCTAACTGAAATTCCTGGTAGTCTCAGTACCTGGAAGGTAAAAGCAGAAGGATCAACAGTTGGGGCTTAGCCTGAGCTACATGAGTTGCAGGCTAGTCAGGCTGGGCTGCACTGTGAGACCTAGTCCAGAAACAATGAACACTATCACCTTATATTGCTTTCCCTTTTAGAATTGTGTCCCTCCCTGCTAGCTCTGAGTCTGATATTCTGGAGCAGGCAGAGTAGCTCTTATAGCCAGAGTTCTTAGTCCCATTTGGTTGAGATCTAGATGGGCACCAATAAGCTCTTTTAATAGCTAAAGGAAGGTAAACAAATTTGTGTTTATAAAGCGTTCTCCCTAATAGACTCTGTCTCTGATCTCTAATGTCAGAGATACCATCCTTGTATTCTACTCATTCCCACTCTGAATTAGATGTAACTTCATGGAGGACCTTAGGGGTAAGTTGTCATGGCCACGACAATGATCCCTATCACCGATTTCCGAACTCGTCCTTTGTGCCAGGCACTGTGACAGCAATCTACTGAATCTTGTATGCTATTTAATGTAATCCTTAGGACAATTTTGTAATATTGACATTCTCACCATGCCACATTGGTGGACATTGGGTTACTTAGCAAGGGAAGACTCTGATTTTAGGCCACCCATGAGATGAGCAGTAGTGTGTAGGCTCCAATCTTGGACCACTGCGCTTCACTGTCCTCAATCATTTTTCAACCAGTTAATATATCCTACAAAAGGCATGTGGCTACAGTCTTTGCTAGGTGTCTCTCTGTGTCAGTTACATTTTTATTGCTGTATCATTACATATTTTCCATTGCGTAGATAAATTATAACTTTGCTTTTCCAGACCAGTGGGTGGAAGTGAGACTGACAAGATACACAAAAGAGAAGAAGGGTCTGGGTTAGCTTATAGCTCGAGAGGTTGTTGTCCGCCATGGTGAGGAAGTCATGGCGGCAGGTGTGCGGTGAGGAAGCAGAGAGAGATGAGTGCTATGCCCCACTTAACTGTTTCCCTTTTACTCAGCCCAGTACCCCAACCCATGTAATGGTGCCGTACACATTTTTGGGTATGTCTTATCTCCTCAGTTAACCCAATCTATGAACTCCTTCATAGATAGATCCAGAAGCATGACTCTTAGGTGATTCTGAATCCAGTCAAAATAAACATGAAGATGAAGCAGGTACTAGTTAGTTTTCTGGGAACAAAACAATATGAGCCATGTAGCTCATAAAAGGAAAGATTTATCTTGATCTTATCGCTTCTGAGGGATAGGAGTCCATCACCAAAATGGAGCCGAGCATTACAGCTGGCAGTCAGTCATGACACTAGAGGAACAACAGGAAGCCAAGAGAACACACTGGGGATGATTGTGGGTTTTGGAAACCTAACCCTACCCCAATGATACACCTCGTTCTGCAAGGCCATCCCTTCTAACTCTTCCCAAACAGCCACCAATTGGGGACCAAGTTTTTAAATGCCTGAGACTTTGGGGGGGGGAATCTCATTAAAAGCACCACAAAGCATAATGACCTTAAACTGATTGGGGGTAGAAAGTCTGTCTTTTTGCATCTAGTTCTCCTAGAATCTCTGCCACTCAACCTAGGGGAGGCCAGAGCCAGTATCCCCCCAAAAGATGTCAGGGTCTGCTAGAGGCTGAATCATTGAGAAAATGTCCAGTGTTCTTTCTAAGAAATCACAGGTTGTGAAATCAGTGGTGTGCCGCCCTGCCGCCCTGCTTCATGGAGATTTAGAAACAGTTGTTCTGTGGATATATATTTAAAGGAAATGTCACATTTCTCCCAGAGGATCATGAGACTCTGCATTCTTCTTTGCCTGGGATCAATACACTGGTGAGCTGGATGTAGCTTATGGAGGAATGAAGACATTCCTTGCAGAGTGAGGCAGTGTGGGAGTGCCACCATACCCAGACAGCATTTTGTTTCTGTCCATCGTCTTAAATCAGGAAAAAGTCATATTGGCGGATGAAGAAGCCCCTCTCTAAGGAGCAATCACGCTGGTAGGGGGTCTAGTTTTTGAGGAAGAATTGAATGTTGAGAGTGGAAAATTTACCTTTGGGCTGGAGGGGGCTGTGCACTGGCTCTCAGCTGTGGCTATGATTAAAATCCAAACAATCGCTTTTCCTGGCAAATGGAAGAGGGGGTAGGATTTTCTTGTCGGACTCCTTGATTAGTCCGCATGGCACCATCTGCCCATGAGCCATCTAGACTGCCAGGGTCTGCTTAATGGAGCCGGTGGGATGGGGCTCGGGGATATGTCCGGTGTGGTCGGGAGGAGATTTGGCCTTGCAGGAGAGGGACTCAGTGTGCAGTGATAGCCAGGAGAGTCACAGGCCAGGCGAGTGAGATTTCCTGTGAGTGTCTGTAGAAACAGACAGGGTAAATGGGATAGTTAGCCATTTCTTGGCACATTTCCTTCTTTCATGAAGGCCCTTTGGAGGGTCTTTGCCATGCTCCAACCAACCTCTCTGCTATAGCACAATCTGTGATTGTTGATGCAATAGCTGAGACCCTCGTTAGAAGGGCTAAGTATATGTAGCATTCCATCAGGGAAGGAGAAGAAAGACTCTCACTGAGCAATGAATATATACAGGACTCTGGCTCATCCTTGAAGCTACCCTACAAGGGAGTTGCTATTATAACCCGTTTTGCAAATGAGGGATTCAAGGCTGAGCCAAGTCAAGTAACTGGACCAGGATCACATAGCTGGTGAATTGGTAATTTGGAGACTAATGTTATCATGTTTAGGATGACCACCACCTGAAGGCACTGTTTCCAAAATCCATTCTCTTTCAGCTCCTAACCTAGTGCCGTAATCTGTATGTTTAGTATGTCCTTCCAGAAGCTAAGATGGCTGTCTCCCCTGATTGGAGCCATAGGAAAGCCGAAATCATCTCGGAGCTCTCGCTGTGTGCCAAGACCCTTCTTGTACTTTTAATTTTGTGAGATTGGAGGGAGGACTTTTGGCAAGCACCTGACTCAGTCTCCCTCCAGCTTAGGAAGTGCCCTTCCTACTGAGCGAGCTGAGAGTATCTTCTGAGCTTTGTTGTGGGGTAGCCGGCAGAAATTCAATGGTAGATTTAACCGAGTCTGGCTTGGCATTGTACTGTACTCAGGAGTTTCCGGTTAAGGCA